AAACTTTATCAAGAAATAAATAATTAAGATAAAATCTGTTTCGAAGAATGTTGGAATATCAAAAGTAGTGTGATTCCTATAAGGCTACGAGCCCATGTTAAATCAGAGGACTAAAGACGAGCCGTGCTCTCGCCGTGCTCCAAGGGTTAAGCAGCAATCCCTAGGCCCCATAAACTGCCACTCAAAGTGTGCAACTAGAGAACACGCAGAGTTTCCCACTTGCATTTAATGTTTGAAAGCCGAAGAGCGGTTCACTGTAAAAAGTATTCACGTAAATTTACATCATTTCTTAAACTTTTTATTTACAAAAAAATGTTGTAAATTTACGACGCGACAGCTCATTCGTGCTTGTCGACCAATTCCAGGTCGATACGAAGTGCTTGTAAATTTTATGACATACGCCAAGGAAAACACTGTAAACCCAAGTGTGTATATAGTACACTCTTCCTTGCCAGGCACACACTTTCTTGTGTGTACTTTCATGTGCACACTAGGGCGAGTGTACGACGTACACACTTGGGTTTACAGTGAAATTTTACTTTGAACCTACTGCGACTATTTTCACAGTGTCGGTTTGAGGGTGTCAGTGACCGATGTGTAACCGCCACGTTTCCCTGTTCGACAGGCGACGCAGCTCAACCTGCTCGGCGCGGTCGGCGCCAGCGCCTCGCCGGTCTCCGTCCGGGACTCGATCGTGCGCGGCCTGCGGCGCGCGTACCGCTCCGTGACGGACTGCGAGTGCGAGAACCAGCCCGGCGAGGACAAGAAGCACCCCTGACTGCAATGCCACAATTGTGTTTTTGTCAATTTTGTTTTGCTTTTTGTTTTCTCAAAAACAGTTTTGGACTAAGACGAACTTGTTTACCTGGTAATGTAAATAAAGTAGAAACGTTGTTAGTTAGTTGTTATCGGACGTTCAGAAAGAACTAAAGTGCCTGATATTTTTAATTGAGATGTTTGTCTATTGTAATAATTATTTAACGTTATCTTCGTCAAGCGAGCTGTGATGGTTCTGATATGTTTAGGGTGTTTGTGTAGTATGCCTTAGTACCGGAGTATCACGAAGTTGTCGATCATTAATTGACGTGTAAACTTATTTTATTAGATTGTCGTCATTCTCTCACTTGCCGTGTATTTGTTGGCGATGGTCTGCTTTACAGTACTTGTTGAACCAATTTCCAAAGTCAGCAGGAAATTCGGTATCCAAATATTATTAGTTAGTTGTGTTTTTTTGCAATCGGGTTCTCTGAAGAACAAAAACAAATTGACATACGTTATTACCCATGAAGGCAATAATAGCGTCATTGTTTCCTTTTGGGATATATATCGCTCTTCTATCGACCATATTTAACTTGAATTCGAATATCATCATATATTTTTGGAGAAATTCGTTGTTGCCATGCTACATGTGTTGAGTTAACTTAAATCTGCATCGAACTAAAAATAAAGGCTTACGCTCCATCTTGTACGCAACACCCATACTGTAACTCATTTACATCCCGGAGGCGTACGGTGAGCGTACGGTGAGTGCACCGAGTGTATGGTGAGCACACGCCGGGCACGCGGTGAGCCCGGTCGCTGACGTGACGCCCGCAGAACTTGACACTGTTGGCGCGGCTGGTTCCCCCGCCGGCCGCCAGGGCGCGCGGCCGCTGTGCCGTTGTTTTGAATCGATTGCCCCCTCCACTACTGGCGCGTCCCCGGGCGGGCGCGGGGCGGCGGCGTGGCTGTCAGTCAGACACTGAGCACCGCGCGATACGACAGCCGCCCGCGACACTTAGAGCGCGAGCAAGTGTGAGACTGAGTGTGACCAAGTGTGTGACTGAGTGACTAAGTGTGTGACCAAGTGTGTGACTTAGTGTGTGACCAAGTTTGTGACCAAGTGTGTGACCAAGTTTGTAAACAAGTTTGTGAACGAGGTTGTGAACAAGGTTGTGAACAAGTTTGTGACTAAGCGTGAATAGGAGCGTCGCTGAGTGTGACTACGCGTGTGACTGCACGTAACGGGTTGATTGACCGGCCAAGCCTGGTCAACCTTTCAGGCGAACGGTCGCCGTCCCGCCCCCGAACAGGTTTGTCGACGCTCTAGCTGCAGTGTGCGTTCTCTCTCACAAGCACTATTACAAGTGACAAACTGCCTTACACTATAGCTTTACCGTCGGTGCACACGGAAAAAAATGACTTCGTTGTGAGGATCAATTATGTTTGGTAGGCTACATTTGATTGCTGGTATCGAGAATTCGATACTCACGAGCAGGAGTTGGTTGCCACGACCGGACACTTGTACGAAGAGAACAAACTCCAGCTTGGTTCTCTTCGTACAAGTGTCCGGTCGTGACAACCAACTCCTGCTTGTGAGTATCGGATTCTCGATTCCAGCAATCGAATTTAGCCTACCAAACATAATTGATCCGCACAACAAAGCCCTTTTTTTCGTGTGATAGTACAACTGTTAGGTCCCTGATCATTGTTCTCCCGCCTGAGCTGGAACACTTACTGGAACAGATGCGGCACGCCCTCCGCCCACCCAAATGCCGACAAGTTGAAGCCTCACGCCTCACTCACGAGAGTGACCCGCATCACTCAACAGAACCCCTGTACCTGGGCAACGCTCGGCTTGCATCGCGGACGGGATATCGAACCGATATCGAAACGCTGTCGATGAGACGTCGCGGAGCGAAGGCCAATCGTATGATTATCGTTTCGATATCGTTTCGACGGTAGCACGTGCGAGTCTGCCACGTGCGAGGCGCGCGGTGGGGG